TGTTCAGTGAAACATCTTAGAATTCTAAGTTTCTCATATGTCTTTAGCTATTCCCAATTTTTCTTACTATTTTGCATATTTACCATTATGGGTTTTGGTTCTAAACTCAACTGATTTTAGAAATAAAGCAGATAGAATGAGTAGAGGGTAGAGTTAAGGTGTATGGATACGTTATATGTGATGTGCAGCTACCTAACTGAAAAGAGCATGGCTACTGAAGGCATTCAAATTCAGGTGTTTTGTTTTTCAAAAACACCATTGGACCATTAAAATATATTGCTGTTTACGGGTCCCATTGTTTCTCAGCCTAAATATTACAGAATTCTCCTTTTTTAAGAATTTGTATTAGGTAGTCAGTCACAAGTTTGGCTGTTTTTTGTTTGTTTGTTTTGTACTAGGGATTGAACCCAGGGATGCTTAACCACTGTGCCACATCTCTGGTCCTTTTTTAAAAAAAATATTTATTTATTTTTTGAAACAAGGTCTTACTAAGTTACTGAGTAGCTTACTAAGTTGCTGAGGCTGGCTTTGAACTTGTGGTCCTCTAGCCTTAGCCTCTTGAGCCAATGGAATTACAGATGTGCACCACTGTACCCAGTTTGACTGTTTTTTAAAATGTACATTTGGTTAAGTTACCTACCAAATTTTTCATATGGAAAACAACCTAGGAACTGATATTGTCAGGTTAATTCAGTATTTGTATAAACCTTGAAAGAATGCTTTCAATTTCTGAGCATTTTTAAAAATTTTTTTGACTCTTTACACAGGTCTCTTTGAACTAAAATTTGTGCACATCTGCTCAATTTGAAATTGAACAAGTGTACTTTGAGAACATTCTTATGTCTTAGTTAAATGTCTAAATGCTAGACAAGACGCAGATGCATCTTTACTATGCATGTCCTTATCAAACTTTTATAGTTGTGATACTTTTACATTTAGCATAAGCTTTAAATAGTTCTTCCTTCAAATTTATAAGAATAGATGCAGCTTTTGGATTACATTTTATTCATCTCTGAAATAAAAAATTGTTGCCTTAAGGTGTTAGATCCGCTTAGATAAAGGAATATTGAAAAGCAAACTATTAATTTTATTTGCAATTATCTATGTGAATCAAGGATTGTTGATTTTTTTCCTTTTAATACAACCAAAACATACAATTTAGATATGGCTGATATAAGCTACCGTTGTCATTCATTTATCTTTAGTGAGGATTCTTTTGATTGCAGGTAACAAAGACTCAACTCAAAGTAGCTTTAAAAATGGGAATGTGTTGGCTACTGGAAACAAATCACAGAAGAGCTTGCTTTTAGGAACTACCCTATCCCAGGACACTGCCCAGATCTCTCTCTAGTCCCCTTGCCATCTTTACTCTCAGATTTCTCATCACAGCTTTTCTTTATGAGTTGTTTTAATTCCCTCCTAGACAAATATGAATAAATATCTACAAGGTGAGAATAGTCATGTGGTGTGAAAGATAGGCCATTTTGGACTTGTTGCGGCTTCTATCCCAGGATGCTCTAATTTAGATCAAGTGTCTGCCTGTGCCCAGTAACTGCAGGCAGAGAGCAGGGATATTAAGTTCTGCCTTGCATTACCAGCTTGGTCTTAGGAGCTTGCCCCTATGCTCAGGGAAGCAGAATCTGTTCTGGGAAGAAGGAAGCATGCAAAGTCATGTATTATGCCATGGGATTCTACATCAGATGCTATACTATAAAGTTTTGAAAACACTACATTAGACAGAATTTTGTGAGATCAGTTACTTATGTGTCTTTTCTAAAATTTTGCTAATCATAACATCATTAGGCTTAAATTTTCAGTTATGAGGTTCTGTGTGGGTGCATTCTTCTTCAATCCTGTGAATTTTGATCCATGTGTTATTTGTAGAACAAGTATTTATTGAGCAGTACTAATATGTCAGACTCCATAATTAGCACAGAAGATATAGTGATGAACAGACAGGCATGATCTCTCTTCCATGTAGATCCCAAGGAAAGACAGACAAATATTATAAGCATATGAGGTAACATGTTATGAAGCAGAAAGAGAAATACCTTCAGGAAAAAAAAATTAGCTAAGAAAGAGAAGAGAGATATCCAGAGTAGATAATGATCAAGTGAAGTTCTTCAAGATGAGTAAGAGTGAGCCAGAAAGGGAGGGCTGAGGGTAATCAAGGCAGAGGAAAGCTTGTGTGAAAGCTCAGGGAGTATTGGTGGAGCTGAAAGATGTTTGTTGTACAGAAAGTGTAATGAGGAAAAGAATTAGAGAGTAATAAGTGAGGAAGCAAAAGACATAAACCAAGTCGAATCATGTAGTCCATGATAAAGAATTTTTTTAAAACATCCTAAATGTGATAGGTATCGAGTGGACAGTGTTGAGCAATCAAGTAAAATAAGTAGTTTCAAAACATCCTCCTGATTTTAGTGTGCAAGCGGGTTAGTGAGAAGGGACACAGGAGATTGTTATAGTGGTATAAATGAGAAGTAAGAAAAGGACTTTGAGGACTGTGGGGTTAGCTCAGTAGTAGAGTACAGGCTTTGGAAAGTATGAAGTCCTATGTTTGATTTCTAGGCACTGCAAAAACAAACAAAAAACTTTTTTTCTTTTTTTTTTAATTTCCAGTTTCTTATCACTTGGACCCATAGAGCTAGCACAAGACTTAGGCATAGTTGGTACTCAGTATTGAGGTCACAAGAACTGTGTGTGTGTGTGTGTGTGTGTGTGTGTGTGTGTGTGTGTGTGTTTCACCTTAAAATGCATGTCACTCTTTTAAAAACTCATAATGCTTGTTTTATCATTTGCTGTATGTTAAAAAAAAAAAAAAAAGACTTCAGTGGTTTCCTGCAAACACTTTATCGCTACCCACTACCAGCATTTCTAAGCCAAAACCTTTACGTCAGAAGTTTAATGTTTCTATTTTTTTAAAAAAAGTTTGTAAAAAGCATGTCTTAAGGTAGGAATTTTATTCCAACTTAACACCAGCAGTTTCTGGTCATATTACATAACAACATGGATATTGTATTAAAGATATCTGTGCTACTTGTATTTCAAGTGCTCGATGGTGCCATCTAGTGGTATGATCACTTCAAAAGGTGAATATTTGCTATTACTTTGGGGACAGAATATTTTTTAAAAATCAATTTTATAAAAAAAGGTTAATGCAATAGCCAAACATAATATACCAATGGAATTTAATATAAAACCTTTGTTGAGTATTCTTATATGTAACACCAAAATACCTTCAGGAAAAAAATAGCTAAGCAAGAATGTATCAAAATTTAAAGCCTTCATTTATCAAAAGTCACCAATCAAGAAAGTGAAAAGACAGCTTACAGAATGGGAGAAAATATTTGAAAATTACATATCTTGCAAGAGTCTAGTATCCAAAATATGTAAAGAATGCTTAAAATTCAACATCAAAAAGACAACCCAATTAAAAAATGAGTCAAGGACTTGAATAGACATTTCTCCAAAAGACATATAAATGGCCAATAAGCACATCATTGGTCATTAGAGAAATACAAACCAAAGCCACAGTGAGATACCATTTCCCAGCCACTAGAGTGGTTTTCATAATTTTAAAAAACAAAATACCAAAACCAGAAAATAACAACTGTTGGCAAGAATTTGGAGAAATGGGAATCCTCATGGACTGGTGGGCAGGTGTAGCCACTGTGAAAAATTGTTTTAACAGTTTCTCAAACAGACAAATAGAGGATTACCCTGTAACTCAGCAATTCCATTCCTAGGTATATTCCTGGGAGAAATGGTGTCAGAGTTAAATGGAGAGACGAATCGCCAAAACAAAAAAAGGTTTTATTTAGGAGTAATAAAAAAAAATAGGATTGCAGTCCAGGATACCTGTACACAGGCCAGGATGGCCTTTGATATGTCCAGAAAACAAAGGGAAGKTTAGTGGTTTCACTGGGACAGAGGAAATCTATGAAAATGCAGACTTAATGGAGGTAGTTTCGCTGGATTAGCCTGCCAGGGAAGTTCCTGGAACAGTCATTAGAAACCTGAGTGTTTCCCATGACCTCTGGACTCTGTTTTAGACATGAATGACAAGAACATTTTCATTTGTGTGCTCAATCTCCATACAGGTGTTCAAACAAAAACTTGTACATGAATGTTCATAGCAGCATTATTCATAATAGTGGAAAGGGAATGAATTTTTATCAACTGATGAAATGGATAAACAAAAGAGTACATCCATATGGTGGAGTATTATTTAGCTCTTAAAAGGAATGAAATACTATTACATTGATGGACCTTGAAACATTATGCAAAGTAACAGGAGCCAGGCCAAATATTATATGATTTCATTTATGTGAACTGTCCAAAATAGTCATAGAGATAGAAAACAAAATAGAATCTGAGTCATTTTTAAAAAACACTTTTATTGTTTTTTCTTTGACCTTCCTTTGGTAAGTATATGCTAATTTATAATTCTACCACTAATGGATGAGGAAAAATGGAGGAGATTTTTTTATTGAGTAACTGTTCCAAGAGTTGTGCCTGGATTCTTTGCTTTTATTATTGTATTAAATGTCTGTGCCTCCTCTGACATAAAGTACCTAGAGAAATTATAACAAGCAGATGAGTAAATATCAGAAACCAGAAGTTTTTGTCTCCATGTCATGTTCTGTTTCCCTTTCAGCTTTAGCAGTGTTGAAATTTACCTTTTTTAAAATATCTTTTTTTAGTTGTAGATGGACACAATACATACATACATTTATTTATTTATTTATTTATTTAATATGGTGCTGAGGAGCCACAAAACTAGCCCCTGGATTTTACCTTTTGTAGTTGCTTTTTTATTAGAGAGATTCAGCATTTCTCAAGTGATTGTTAACATTATTCTTACTCAACAGTCTATATCCTGTGCTTTTATTATTAATAGATTTTAAACTGAACTTTCATACTTGTAGACATAGAGGTATTATGTGTCAACTTTATCACAATTTTTTTCTTTTTTGCTTTTGTTTGCACCTCTATTCTAGGCTCTCGATGGCAATGTGTATGATCACCTCAAGGATTATTTAATAGCCTTCAGCCGGACTGAGCTAGAAACATGCCAAACTGTGCAGAACACATTCCAGTTTTTGTTAGAGAACTCCAGCAAGGTAAAGTACCTTCACTGCAGTGGGTGGTGTTAACCATTTTAGAATTCAACGTGTTTTTGCTACAAACAAAACAAAGAAACTAATGATACTAGAAGAATGCTTAAAGGCAACTGTCTGGAGACACCATCCTTCTAACTCATCCACAGGGGAACAGAAACATCCTCCTACTTCAGATTGAATACTACAGTATCTTGGTTTTTGACATATTAAACCTTCTGTATGCTGTCATTCTTCAACACTAGTCTTTTCATTTAAAAATACTGATCTGTCAACTTTGCTCACATGTCCCAATGTGTGTAGAAAAAAATATATGTAATTTCTTTTCTTTAGGTTCTGATAGAGTAAATTTTTGTAGTGAAACTATTCTTTTGAAAGATTAATTATTCTTGTGATTAGTAAATGTTATATTCTTCCTAATAAATGAAATACATAGTAAATGTTTCCTGACTGAGTGCATACATTTATAAAAATGTATGCGTTTTGTAGCTGCTGCTTTAAAAGATCCTGTTCAATTCTCTTTTTTTGGCAGGGGAAGTGGGAACTGACTATATCTTTTAGAAACCATTTGTAAAGGGATCAGAGTATCCATCTTTGCATGACAGTGTCCAAAGACAGGAAAGAAAAGGGGCACACACTTTTTATCCTCCTTATGTATATATTCTTTTCAATATCCTAGAGTTTTAATGATCTATTAGAAAAACATTAGAAATGCAAAGGTGATAGGGAAATATAAACATTACTACCCTGGTACTTTAAGTCTTGTCATATGTCTATTTTGTATATTCTTAACCCCCAGAATCAAAAAAAAAAAAATACAGAAGGATTCATGTGTAAAAAGAAGGACGGATGGATAGATAGATAAAAGTATGTGAAAGAAAATGAAGTAAAATATTAATTGCAGAATTAAAATGGGTATCTAGGTGTTCATTATCTAATTCTTTTTATTTTACTATGTGGATATTTTAAATTTTTCACAGGAAGATGTTGAAAAAAAGTCTGTAAAAGCATCTTGGCCAGGCTGGGGATATAGCTTAGTAGGAGAATGCTTGCCTAGCATGTGTAAAGCTGTGGGGGCCAGGAAAAAAAATACTTTTTGATCTTTTTAGTTGTACATGAAAGTAGACTGTATTTTGACATATTATATATTACATGGAATATAACTTCCCATTCTTGTGATGTGGAGTTAACACTGGTCTCATATTCATGTATAGACATAGGGAAGTTATGTCTAATTCATTCTACTGTCTTTCCTATTCTCGTGCCCCCTCCCTTCCCTTCATTCCCCTTTATCTAATCCAATGAATAGCTATTCTCCCACCCACCCCATTGTGTGTTAGTATCCACATATTAGAACATTCAGCCTTTTTGTGTGTGTGTGTGTGGTTGGCTTATTTCACTTAGTATGATAGTCTCCAGTTCCATCCATTTACTGGCAAATGCCATAATTTCATTCTTCTTTATGACTGAGTAATATTCATTGTGTATGTGTGTGTGTRTGTATGTATGTGTGTGTGTGTATATATATATATCTCACATTTTCTTTGTCCATTCATCTGTTGAAGGCACTTAAGTTGGTTCCATATCTTAGCTAATGTGAATTGAGCTGCTATAACCATTGATGGGGCCACATCACTATAGTATGCTGATTTTAAGTCCTTTAGGTATATGCAGAGGAGTGGGATAGGTGGGTCAAATGGTTGTTGCACTCCCAAGTTTTCTGAGCAATCTCCATACTGCTTTCCAGAGTGGTTGCACCAATTTGTAGTCTATGAGTATACCATTTGCCCCACATCCTTGCCAACATTTATTGTTACTTATATTCTTGGTAATTGCCATTCTGACTGGAATGAGATGAAGTCTCAGTGTAGTTTTAATTTGCATTTTCTCTAATTGCTAGAGATGTCGAACATTTTTTGTTTGACATCTCTAACAATTATATTTGTTGATTGATTGTGTTTCTTCTGTGAAGTGTCTGTTCAGTTTCTTAGCCCATTTATTGGTTTGTTTATTTGTTTTTGTTTCTTTTTTCTTTTCTTTCTTTTTTTTTTTTTTTGTTAAGTTTTTTGAGTCCTTTATATATCCTGGAGATTAATGCTCTATCTGAGGTGCAGATGGTAAAGATTTTCTCCAATTCTGTAGGCTCTCTCTTCACATTCTTTATTGTTTCCTTTGCTGTGAAGAAGCTTTTTGGTTTGACAGCATCCCATTTAGTATTGATTTTATTTTTTGCGCTTTAGGAATCTTGTTGAGGAATTCAGTTCCTAACCCAGCATGATGGAGATTTGTGCCTGTTTTTCCTTCCAGTAGGCACAGGGTCTTGCCTAGGTCTTTGATCCACTTTGAGTTGAGTTTTATGCAGGGTGAGAGGTAGGGGTTTAATTTAATTTTGCTACATATGTATTTCTAGTTTTCCCAGCACCATTTGTTTTTGTTACTGTAGGTCTGAGTATAACTTAGGGTCTGGTATTGTGATGCCTCCTGCTTCACTATCTTACGAAACTAAGGATTGCTTTGGCTATTCTGGACCTCTTATTTTTCCAAATGAATTTCATGTCTGCTTTTTCTATTTCTATGCAGAATGTCATTGGAATTGTAATAGGAATTGCATTAAAATGTGATTCTGCAATCTGTATACGGGGTAAAAATGGGAGTTCATAACCCACTTGAATCAAATGTATGAAATATGTAATGTTTTGAACAACCAATCATTTAAAAAAAAGGAATTGCATTAAATCTTATAGCATTTTTGGTATGGCCGTTTTGACAGTGTTTATTCTGCCTATCCAAGAACATGGGCGATCTTTCCATTTTCTAAGTCTTAAAGGAAGCATCTTAACTTCATTCCTTCTATGTAGGGCTTAGTTTCTGACCATTTACCAAATCCCTTTTATTCATTGGTCCATTCAGGTTTTCTGCTTCTTTTTCAATACATTTCAGTAACCCTCATTTTCTAAACAGTTGTCTATTTCAGTTGTTACCAGACTTGATGGCATAAGTTTCTCATACGCTTTTTTGCCTCTGGTTATTTCTCTTTTTATTTCAAATATTGCCTGTGCTTTCTTATTTTGATCTGACATACCAGTCTTTTATTCATCTTTGTCAGAGTCAGCTTTTGTTCTGCTTCCCAATGCTATGTCCCTAAGTTTTACCTTTATCTACATTATTTCTTTTTTTAAAGTTTATGTTCTTGTCTTTCTCAAGCTTATTTTCCTATATAGGACCTTTATTTTCAGTCTTTCTGTTTTCAAGTTCCAAGTAAACTCATTTAAGGCTAAAAAATTTCTCCCTCTGTGATATGTAGGGCTTTTATTGTTATTTCTATATTAACCCATGAATTATTTAGAAGTGGATTTTACAGTTTGCATTCAGTGCAACTATATGGTAAGGTGACATTTTTCATTTCTAATTTTATTGGAAAACATTTTTTATTCATAATTTTATTCTATACTTTTAAACTTTTTTGAAATTTCTTTTTCCAAGAAAAAGTTAGCTTGGGTACAGTACTGGTAGTTTAGAAAACATAGTTATAACAAGTCGCTAATATTGTACACACACCTAATTTCCTAGGATTTTCTTTAGCACATCTACATCTCATACTGTGAAACCCATGTCATTGGTATTTACATGCTCATCTGATGGAGAGGAACACAGACTCAGGTAGTTTATATGACTTGCCCAGGGTCACATGCACATAGTGCTCTATGTTTTTCTACTGTGTTATACTATGCTATATTATTTCTGTAGTTTGTTACTTTAATTTAAAATATATTAAGAATTTATGAATTAGTTTGGATACATAAAGAGATAAGCTTTCATTTTGTGCCTTCCCTAATGTGAGTGTTTTGTTCCMCAGGGATGAGCAATTAATGAGATGCTCTTACGTTTAGGGTGAAAGTGGTGGGGATAAAATTTTAACGAATGATATATCCGGGAGAGGCTCCCTTTTGTTCCAAGTGAGAAAAGCTTACACCTACAAGTTTTATGCCTTGTGCTTTTCTATTATAAAGAGCTCTTGTCAAACTGCTGAAAGCAACCAGATGATTTGATAACCCACTGGGAAGTTTGAAAGTCTTTAGGTTTTTTACTGTACATCATTATTACTCTGTCTTCTGAGGTAAAAATCTATTTTTCCAACATGTCTAAAATGTAACATATTCCCAAAGATATTTTGGGGTAAGTCATACCGACATAACATACTATAATTGTTAAGGTGCTGTCAATATCTTTCATCCTCTAAATGAAAACAGCTGGGTCTAGGAGCTTTTATTAAATTTTAATTATTTATGAAGCTTGCTTTTCTCCTTAATATTTTATGAGATGCTTTGTATGTAACTGAAGCAGATGTTGTCATAGATTATTTTCTCTGGGATCATAACTCTAAAACTAGCTCTACTGGCCCTAATAGTTTATGTGTGATTGTTTTCTGTCTATATAAGGAAACTCCTAGTGATGAATAACATAGCTCTTTGAACAAGTCATAAAATAACAATGTTATTCTTTATTTCTTTTGAAAGTTAAATTCTCTAATATTACTAATCTTAATACCTTAAAGATTAACCAAAAAAGTAAATTTAATAAAATAAGGTGAAAATCACTTGATCACTTTAGTAGATACAGAAAAAACGTTTAACAAAATTCAACCCCCTTTAGTGGGTTGAAAAACTCATCAAATTAGAAATAGAAGGGAACTTCCACACCTTGATAGTTTTTGTGGAAAACCATATTTAACATCATACTGAATGATAAAAGACTGAAAGGATTTCCACCCTAAAATCAGGAACAAAATGAGGATGCCTGCTTCCACTCCTGCTATCCACCTTTGTACTAGAAGTCCTAGCTAGAGCAGTTAGGTAAGGAAAAGGAAAAGAAGGATTAAAATGACCTCTGCTTTCAGATGACATGATTATATATAGAAAACTATAGAATTCATGTAATTACTACTATAGCTAATAAAATAATTGAGCAAAGTTTGATCTTGTGGGTACAGAATCAAACAGAAT